CATTGGCCTACCGCTTGTACTAATAAAGTGCCAAGGGCCTAAGTGGTCACCTTAATATTAAAAAAAAAAAAAAAACAAATATTTATCTTTAATTCAAAAATAACTTTTGAGCATATTGCTATTGCATATACTGCAAAAGCAATATGCTCAAGTTATTTTTGGATCAAATTTTAAAATACAGATGTATATTACAAAATATTTTTTTAAAAACATAAGCAATTCATTTTTTACAAATAATTGTAAAGCTTGTGAATAAAGTCAATACAAAAAAAAAATTTCTTTAAATGCTTAATTCACTATTCAATAATTGTTTTTATATGATTGAATGCTCCTAGTATTACTGTTGGAGCCTAACTAACCAAAATAGATTCCATATAGTAATTTTTTAAATAATAAGCTTATTTAGCTAATATCATTACTAAGAATTGTAATAGTGCATCTTTGACGAGCACAAATATTTCCCAATAGGAGAAGCACAAGCTAGAAGCTAGGATTAGTGTTAAGTTAGATTTAAAGTTTATGTTATAATTAATACAAAATTACAAGAGAATCATTTTTCATTAGTATAACAAGGCACTTGAGTTGCTTAAATAGAGTTAAAGATAAGTGTACTATTGATATTGTATTATACAGCACAAGGACTTCATGTTGTGATTAGGTTCCATGGCTATGATAGAAAGCAAGACCTCATATTATGATTAGCTCTATAGCTGCTGCAAGCAATGCAAGAATATTGTGTTTATAATTGAGCCTCTCTATAAAAAATAAGATCAAACTTCTATTCAGATTTTATTCAGATTTTTATTATAAAAAATGCTTATTTTTTAAAATAATAATTTTTGTAGAGTCCACAACTATGAAAGCAATACAAAGATTATACATTTTGATTAGGGTTTGTGGCCACAGTAGCTATACAAGAACCTTATGTCATGATTAGGCTCTATGGCTACTGCAGGCAATATAAGAGCTCCATGTTTTGTGATTAAGCACCATAACTTCGATGACTATGACTGCCACAGGCAGTGCAAAACATCACACTTGGCAATTAAGCTTCGCAACTAAACTCCATGGCTGTGATAGCAATACAAAGACTTTATATTGTGATTAGGCTCTATGGCTGGCACAGGTACTACTAGATGCTTGTTAAAGAGAGTTAGAATAGAGTATGCTATATCATATTGTAGTGCTCAGCAAAATTGGGCAAAAACTCAATTTTCGAGATTTCATAAAAGTTGGGCATCTATTGGTTACACAAATCAGGTATTGGAAATAAATTTTATTTTTAGAACTGAAACTTTGAAATAGCGATAGTACTGTAGTATTTAGTGCTTACATATGTATTTATATTATAAAAAAAAATACAGAAGTTGTATTTTTTGTTAATTTATTTTATTTTTGTTAATTAACAATCTATACCCTACTTTTCTTAATCGCTATTTATTTTTCGCTCACTACATACTTATTATACAGATTATATTCATTGCAGATTTTCATAGTGGCAACATTTTGTAAGACCAACCCACTTATATCACAGATCTTGGATTGCCTAAAAGACCAACCCACTTATATCGCAGATCTTGGATTGTCTAGATTTTAAACTGATCTTGAGCGATATGGGTCTTCTGGCTGATCGAGAAAGAGATGATTCTAAGAATAGTAAGGTATGTTAGATTCAACACATATTGTCTTTTTTTTTATTTTTTGCAAGGTTTTTTCGAATATAATTCAAGACTATAAATAACTGATACTTGAGTATACATTTGAAACATCAAAATCTCAGGTGCTAACAATATACGATAAAACTTTACAAAATTTATAGCAAGCAACATTCTTTTTACCTAAAAGTTGCAGTCTGAAATCAGCAAACTTTGGTCTAATTATAGGTGCGGTGAGAAGAAGAAATTTATGGAGTTATGCCCTATGTTGTGCCAGAAGTTTATTAGACAAGAACCTGTTTACACAAACAGCAGATATTTATGAGTTTTGTGTTATTATGGCAGAAATATCAACTAGGCAAAGACCTTATGGTAATAATAGCTTCAATTATTTTTATTTGCTCTTCTAGTTCACAAAGGGTACAAACTCTCGAAATTTTGGCAAGTGGTTTTATTATGCTTTAAAAAAGGATAGGTTAAAAGATTCTAGATTTTCTTTTTCTTGCTTTCGAAATTTGTTTGCTATTTTTTCATGAATTCAGTATACATAGCTAATATAACTATAGAATTGGTTTTATTCTTTAGGGACGCATACTTTGAGTAATCAAATTCGGGAAGCTCCCAACATCTTTTAATGGACGCTAAACTTGGAGTAGAGATTTGCAAAGAATCGCGACTAGAGTTTGCAACTGGAACTCAAATGCTATATTGAATTGGCTAAGTAATACGGTTAGATAGATGAATGACTCTATTTTGTACCTAGTTAAATATTATATGCTAGTGAGTAATTTGGGGCTTAAACTTATACCGGGTCGAATCTTTACTTGGGCAGCTATGAATAAGTAGTTGGCTTGGTTCAAATGATAATGAAATTAAAAAGCAAGTCTTAGAAGCTGATGAAGTATTAAATCGTTGCTAATATCAAAACATCCTGACAAATTGTACACTAGCAAAATTATTAGCACAAAATTAATTTCAAAGGCGATTAAAGGTATCTATTTTCAATTAATAATTTTGGGTTATCTATTTTTTGTAACAAGAAATTTTCATTGACTAACTAACTACTAGTAGTATTTAGGTTAACTGAATCCGGATCTATTACTGAGGTTTGTTAATTGAACTAGGAAAAGTAAACTTGCCCATATGTATGCTGTTATAGGTTAGGTAGTAATGATTTATGAGTGCCGCAAAGAAAAAACCTGTAATAACTATTCAGGTCATCAAATTTTGTTTTTATTTTATTTGCATTATTTCACGAGTGAATATAAGATATATTTGGAATAATCTATTAATATAAATTATTATATTTGAATAATAAACAAAAAAATAAAGCTCATTTGTTAAGAAACTTTTATGTCAAAAAAAGTTAAACTTCTTGTTTATTTATTTATTTATTTGATCGCAATTGCTTTACAAATTTTTAAATTCTACTATATAAATTCAACAAATAATCACTATGTGTGATGGCTATGTGTGATTATTGTAAGCGATCATTTGCATGATTATCACGAGCGATTGTTATTCGTGTAAATATTATGAGCGATCATTATGCGCAAAACATTATGCGAATGAACGGTCAAGGTTTTTAACATTAAAGATTGTACTCAGGAAAAATTTGCTATTATATAGCAATAGTAACTCGGATAACATAGATAATTTAATAATACCTAGTAGAGATTTTTCCCACATACAATCTCTATTTAATATAAGCAATTAGGTAATAACTCGTTGACTCCGGTAACGATTTTAAGATCTATAATGGTAATATAAAGAGAAGTATTTGGACAATATTTTTTATAATAAATAAATTAAAATTTCATCAATAAGCACAAAAAAAAAAGATATGTATCTTTCACTTCTTGTTAACTGGAATGATGCTCTTGATTAGTTAAAAATATTCTACTAATTAAATTTTTCTCTTTGATGTATTATGTGTTTTATTTATTGGAATAATTAAATACATTAAAATATTTTTTACTATGATAATTAAATTTACTATTAAACCATTCACAGATTGACTAAAGCGCTTGAGAAAACCTAAGTGAAAATCAAGCGAGTTCATTTAGAATTCCATCATAATTGGAACCCATAAAATTCTATTTAAATAAGATAATAATATAAACTTACACTTCACTATAAATGCCAAAACAAGGTAAGATGAAAAATTCTCAATATTTTGACTTCTAGTCTGATCGATCTGTTATGACACCAACAAAATACTTTGATTTTTATAAGTGTGCTGCCTAGGGCTACTGAGCCCTATGTAAAAAGGTTTGTAAGTCAATTATTAACAGGAAAGGAGTTTGGAATTCTAACGATTAAACTTATCAGAAAAACAGCCAACATTGTAGTTATAAATATAGAATAATCTTAATGAATATGTTTATGCGCATTTATAAGATTTTAGAACATTAAAAAAAAAAAAATGTAGATTTTAACCTGGAATCAAAGAATCATATTTAACCAAAATAGTAGATTATTGTAATAGTGTTAGTAAAAATGTTAAAAGCTTTTAGCACAGATATTATGCCGCACTAACCGTTTGAGATGCTCAAACCATGTGATAATTAGCATCACATTGGTTTTAATTACTTAATTTCTTATTGTCAAAACTATATAGTGCTAATTATCATATTGTTTGGGCTGTTCTAAATAGTTTGAATGGCAACCGAGAGAATAAGAATTTGCTTTGGTAAGCTAAATGGACATAAAAACAGAATAGATTGCGGCATTGTGTCTTTAATATGTTTTTCTCTTAATAGCTTGTTCAGTACTAGCCTAAAAAGAAAATTAAAATAGTTGCGCAGTTAAATTGTACTTTGGTAAAGACCAGCAGCTCAATAAACTATTCACAAAACATTCAACTTTACTTTATGCTATAGCATTAACAATCAGCAGAACCTTTAAAAAAAAATCTGCGAGAAATACACTACCATAGGTTTCCGAAAATAAGCTACCTCCAAAAATAAGCTACCCCCTCTTTTCTTGAAGAAGAAACATAAGAAAAATCTTTAT